ATTCTATGGTAATCGCATTCGACATTCTATCTCAACTGATACAATTTGAAAGTGATTATTTTTGTTAACTACCCCTATCCCAAGATCATACCGGAGCCCTTTGATATATATGGTAACAATATTTTAATAAATAAATCCTAAATTATATTACTCTTGAAACTGTGCATTTGTCTCATTCTCTCGAAACTTAGTTTCTTGAAGATTTCAGTTCCACCACGTGTAATCTCCACCCATGATTTTTTTTTTTGATTGATAAGTTTATCTATTTGATTAGATGTGAACGATAATTACTTTGATAGCATTATCATGATAACAGTAAGAGATTTTTTAATATATAATGTTTTATTGTACGCGATAATAAAGATTTTCAATATTAAGATTTTTTCAAATTCAAATTAAAAAAATTCAAATTCAGATTTATCAATATTATATAAAATGAAAATAATACTTATTTCGCATTTTTACTTAATTTTTATACTAGTTATTTATTTATAAAGATCAGCTGATTATTATGGCCTTATCTCTTAATAAAATAGATTTCTTCAGAACTAATAAAATTTACAATAACACAAACGCAGTAATCTAATGGTATGACTAAAATATATGAAAAAGACATTAGCATATAAAATAGTATAATATAAGGTAGTACGTATCAATGTGTAGAAACTATTACCAATAAAGGATTAAAGAATTATTGGAAGTATTTTCTCTTCGTTATCAATTACGATAAGTCATGTAAACATTTTTTAATAATTCTTCAAGATATTATTTTTTATTTTTTCTATTCCTTTAATTACTTTTATTTTTCAATTCTAATTGTTTTATCATATATTGTATAATCATTTGTTTATATTTATAATACATGATGTGAGCAGTAGAATATGAGTTTGTTTTATTTTTTTATATTTATCTTTTTATTATAGCTTTCTAATGATAAGCTTTTTATCACTATTTATAGCACGTATGACTAATAAAAATCTTCTTAATAACATTAATTGTCGTAATAATAATTTGTAACATCATTACTTTATTTTTACTATTCATGTTATTAAGGGGTTATATACAGTTAGACGGCCGAAAAAAAGTGAATTTTCCAGAATTTTTTCTGAGAAACCTTTTAAATTTATTGATCCAAAAATTTATACACATATTATGGTATCTTTTAACTGTATTTTAAGACTTAGTACTAGTAAAAATATTTATTTGAAAAAGAGCTACAGCTGATCTCCAGGAGCTCCTCTCAAAAAAGACGTTTTTCGGTGACCACTATATCTCGGAACTGGATCATCTTAAATTAAAAAACCAAACAGATTTCGTTAAAATAATGTTAAATCTAGTAATTAATCGAAGGAATAAGCAAAATAAAATTTTTTGACAAAATGGCGGTTTCTCAAAAAAAAA